GGACCGCGAGATCGTGACCTGGTTGAAGTCGGACGCTTAACCGACTGTGCCACCCAGGCGCCCCCAGAATCTGTGTTTAAATAAGACCCCCCAGGTGCTATTTGCAGCCCTTCTCCGGAACCGGTGCGTGCCCTGCCCCCGCACAACCAGCCAACCCAGTGCATGGCACTGCATCACACTTGAGCTTCTAAAAGGGTTCACCTCTTTTCTTTGTAAAGGGCCAGCGATTTCCAACCTGGCTACACGTTGGAATCTCTTGGGAAGGGGTTCAAAAATTCCAGTGCTCACAACTAAGCCAGAAGCTCCGAGGGGTGTGGGCCACGTTTTGAAAAGCTGCCCAGATGATACTATTGTGCAGCAGCAGAAAAAGCCAGGGGCACATACAGCTGTGATACAGAACACGCCCCACACGTGTGCTCTGCCTTGTTATGTGACGTGCACAGCGTGTCCACAGACCGGCGGCACCTGGGACATCAGCTGTGTGCCCATCAGATGTGTAGAATCTGTCATTTGGGCCCCACCCCCAAATTCCCAATTCAGAATTCTCATTTTAACAAGACCCCCAGATGATTCCAATGCGCATCCCAGACCAAGAAGCACTCGTATGGGAATCCAAAATAATGAGGAGCAAAGGCCATTTCATCCACAGAGGGAGGCATGCTCAGAGATGCAGCTAGCAGGGGTTTATTACCTCTGGGAACGGGTGAAGCCACTGCATGTAAATGAGACAGGTCATTATCTATTGCTATGATAAGAAGGGACAAAAGCCTGAGCCTGCCTATCCCAAATGTCTTCCTCACCATCTTCCAAAGGCATCTTCCCCAGCATGGCTGAAACTTCCCATCATCAGGGTCCCTAATTAGCCAGACACCTTGAGGACACATGTAAACTGGGACTGGGCTCTGAAGCCCAGTGGCTCTCCCAGTGTGGCCCCTAGACCGTCAGCATCAGCATCACTGACTGAGTCAGGACTCTAGGGGCAGGTGCAGTGATCTGTGTTCACCAAGCTTCCCGATTCTGATGCATGGGAGTATTGGGGAAACACTGTTCTTGTCTAGTACTGATTATCAGTTTAGCTTGGCTATTAAAAGCAAGTCTCCTTAGAAGAATTTTAGAAGAAGGTGCTAGAGTTAACAGTGGGCAGATATAGAGCAGGGCATAGGGGATGCTAAAGATGCTGGGTCCCTGGACATTGCCCCAAGAGAAGTCACAGACTAGCATTGCCCATTACCAGCCTGGGGACACACTGAGTGCCCACGCCTGCTGGCCAATAGCCTTACATCCTCCTTGTCTGGAAGCCTTAGCACGGGCAGGTGACAAATAGGACCATTATTCAAATGGTCTGAGTGGGGGGAGTGACTGGCTCAGATCAACTAGCCACAGAGAAGCCAGGCCTATGTTCCTCTATTCCTATATTCACTTATGCTTTCCAAGCATTTCCCCCTCATAAGATGATATCTAACTTTATCCACCTGGGGGTGGATAGAACATATAAGCAAGCAGGCTCATCAGATCTGCTTTCAAATCCTGCCTCCCTCATGGACTCCCAAGCACCGGAAAACAGAAGTTCCTGAGTCTCTGCTGCTTCACCTAGAAAAATGAAGAGGGGCTCACTCTCTGTGGTACGGGATTGGTGGGGGAAGTAAATGCAATGACGTATGTAAAGTGCTTTATACAGCTAGTGGCTTAGAAAATGGAGGGGGGGGGGAAGGCACTAGGATGGGAGTGTTTACCATGCCTAGTCCCCAGTGCCCACAGTTTCAAAATCTTCAGTGGGGCAGAAGGTCTCCAGGGGATCTGGCTGCCTGAGATTTCCCTCAAGCTCATGCAGAAGGTCTTTCAGTGCATGGCAGAAGACCTAGTCTCCTAAAACAGCAACCCAAGGATCACAAAAGATGAAAAGTATGAGCATAAACATAGGGCTCTCCCATAAGGAATGGGAAGGGGCCAAAGGTCTCTCTCCAATTAAGCACTGGGATGAGAATCAGATACTTTTTAAAAGGCAGCTAAAGCCCCAGAACGTCTAACACTGAGGCTACATCTCAGCGCAACTAATGAGGAACCACAGAGGCTGCTAAGAGTGTTGCCAGTTACAGAATGATTACGGGCGCTGCTTTTTTCATCCTCAATTTCTAGTCCTGACAGACAGCCCACACAACATCATTTAAGGTGGATCTCTTCTGAATGGTGATGAGTTACAGTCTTAATGGGATTTAAAGCTGTGGGCTTCCCACTGAGATCCTATGATTGAAGTGGAAAATAAAGAGAGTTATCAATTCCAAATGTCATCGAAGTAGACACTGGGTCCAAATTTCAATTTCCCACTGCAGTGGAGAGTAGCCTGCCTGATGTGTGCCTGACTCACCACACACCAGGGCATCCAAGTCAGGACTGGGAGTTGATGACTTGGGGTCCCCATCAACTCAGAATGTGGGCTCTGGGGACAGGATGCCTGCCTGCCTTTGAATTCTGGCTCTGCCGCTTGGTGGTTGTATAACCCTGGGCAAGATATTTAAGGTCTCAGTGCCTCAGTTTCTTCATCTGGAGCATGGCAAACCGCTCCCCACCCCCCGGCCCCGGCCCTGGGAAAGATTATAGAAGTTCATACATGCAAAGTGCTCAGAACTGTGATAGGTGCACAGTAACAGCCCAATAATGATTATTATCATCATTGTTAATACACGTTGCTGGCAGAGAACACAACCCTAAAGCCTTAGATGTCCAGAAACTGGACTGACAACTTAAGAGGTGGCAAAGCAGATGCTGTGAAGGACAGTACGATGTGGAAATTTTCTGGTGCACCTGCAAGCGTGTGGTGCCAGTGAGGTCTTAGCCTGAGAAGCAGCGCTGGAGGGGGGTCACCAACAGGAGTAGGTATGGGCAAGTTAGGGAGGAGAAAAGAAGAGCCAAATGAGGGAGGCAGTGGATGTGAGGGGTGAGGGGTGAGGGGTGAGAGGCAGGAGAAGGAAGAAGACGCAATCAAGGTGCAGGGTCAGAGGGTGGTCGGGACGCTGCCCTCTGCGCAGGTGCGGACGGTGGCTAGGTACACCAGGGTGGTGGTTCAACACCCCAGCTGTGATGTTTCTGCCATATACTTGATGCCCATACCCCCCGGAGTCCCATTTAACCGGTCCAGACTGAGGCCAGGCATTAGCATCTTAGAGGCTTCTCAGGAAGCCATTCAATGCACCTGGCAGTGGTTCTCAGAGCGTGGTCCCTTGACCCATGTCACTGGCATCTCTTGAGAACTCAGTACATTATTCACATTAAAAAGAAATCATAGGGGCGCCCGGGTGGCTCAGTCGGTTAAGTGTCTGACTTCAGCTCACGTCCTGAGCTCACGGTCTGTGAGTTTGAGCCCCGCGTCAGGCTCTGTGCTGACAGCTCAGAGCCTGGAGCCTGCTTCAGATCCGGTGTCTCCCTCTCTCTCGCAAAAATAAACATTAAAAAAATATAATAGAATAAAAATGAACAAAA